TGGCGGCTGACCATGCAGCAGGGCGGAAAAAAATGGCCGCGGACCACGTGGCACGGGTGGAAAATGGCCGCAGACCACGTGGAATGGGCGGGAAATGGCCGCGGACCACGTGGCACGGGTGGAAAATGGCCGCAGACCACGTGGAATGGGCGGGAAATGGCCGCGGACCACGTGGCACGGGCGGAAAAATGGCCGCGGACCACGTGGCACGAGCAGAAAATGGCTCGTAAGTCGAGGCAAGTTTGTAAGTAGAGGTAAATTTTTGGGGCCGGAGCTGATCGTATCTTGAAAATTTCGTAAGTAGGGGTGTTTGTAAGTAGAGGTACCACTGTACTTAGTTTTAGAAGTGAAAGCTACTGCTTCCCAACCTTGCTTTAAAATACACGAAACAGTCTCTCCTTCTGTCAGGAATTCCAGAATAATGACCTTCAAGACTGGGATCACATTAAAAAGACACAGAATACCAGACCAAGCTTGTACAACTATTTGAAAGCTGCAGTAGTAATGGAAAAATAAAATATTTCATTATACAATGCATTTAATTTATTGCAATTACTTCAATCCAAGTTCTAACATTTTCCAGTGAATATGACTAAAATACTTTAAGAGAAGACCTGGGCTCTAGGTTGAAATCTATAACCACATTTTCAGCAGATGCTAAAGAAATAACAAAAGATAAAGTGCATATATTCCATTTATGCAAGGACAATGAAGTGTCACAGACTTTAAAAAAATAAGAAAGAAGTTGATCAAAACATCAGACTGATAATTTTAGTGCACATTTGTGTAATTATCATGTTCCCATTCAATTCTATATAATTGACTTTCTATTCCAAAAATGGTTATTAAATATTAATTTTCATCATTAAATACTTATTAAAATACTTTTTAAAAGAATGACAACATACACAAATGCATATTTCTGGAAGCCTGGATCTTGTCTTACCGTTGTCTATCTTGTCTTAATAGTTAGTATTCTTATCCTTTGGATCCAGGTTTCAGGCTTGCAAAAGCTTTAGAGTTCTTAAGAGAATAGGAAGTTTCATTGAGGAAAGAGATAAAATGAGAGTCTCTCTCAGACTTTTTGGATTCAAAAATAACCACAATGGTAAAATGAGGTTCAGGTCGGGTTAAGAAATACGTGCTCTGAACTTTGTCATCATAGAAATGGACAACCTTTTCCAAAGTATTTAGTTCAGAAGCTCTGTCAGTCATGATCATAATGACATTAGGCCAATGCATGACAGGCCGGTCACTGGGCAGAGATACCACTGCTGGATACTGGTCTACACCCTTTGGGGCTTCCCTGTAGGATTGCGGGTGATGATAACCATGTCCCTGAAAGCTCTCTGAGCCACGATTGTCAAAGATTAATGAAACATTAACAGCATCGTATTTCCTGATGAAACTGGAGATTTTCCCAAAATAATCAGGATTAGCTTTTGCAGTCAAAGTTTTCATTTCAGATAAGGTTGTTTGTCGACTAAGTGCCTCATGAAAGTAAAAGCTAAATTTCGCAAGGAGGATATTTTTGAGCTTCATTAGCCACAGGAAAAGGTGTGGAGGTTGAACAGCTTTCTGAGACTGGCCACCAAAGAGATGTTTCTTTGTTTCCCGCTGCTTCTCAAAAATCTGTCCCCATGTCTGTAGCTTTGTATGAGCATTGTGCAAGTGGACCAAGGATGGGAGGAACTTCCACTCAGAGATCTGTGCCTGAGCCTTCAGAAGATGCATAAG